AAAAATTCTTTTAACAACGGAAACTTAAATATAATAATACATCATCAAAAATGATGAGAAAACTAATCTTTGAATTCGAGAGGATTAGCAGTAACAATGAAGATAAATCATAACATGATTATTTGAATCAAATGTAAGAATCGTAATTTTTCACTTTCTACAAATAATATAAAACCATTTTAATAAGAGAAACACAATATTTCTTTCTGTCACAATTTTTCTCGCCATTAATATATCTGAAGAAAAAAAAAAGTTGAAAAGAAATAACTTTTGAGATCGAGTTACAAATTAAACAACAAAGCAAAACAAAACTTAAGATGCAAAGTAGCATGGTTTCCTCTGGAAATGATTAACTGGAGATCAGTTATGAAAGAAATTAAATTTATTGACTATAGTATAATATATAGCTATATGCTCTAGCAGTAAAAACTAGAACAAAATAATAATATGCTCAAGCAATAATAAAATTATAGTAGCTTGAATCAATAAAAACTATTTCAATTATAGAAAAAACCATTAAAAGTAAACGTTAAATGTATGGAAATCCCTAATGAACAAAATTTATGATTGAAATGGGTGAGAAGAATGACAAGGTATATATATAAGGGGTTGAGTGAATAGAGTTTTCAAATTGTATAAGAGAAAAAGATTGTATTCGATTTAAAATCATCCTAAAAATAAGTAAGTTAGTAACTGAAAGAAACAAAAATAGAAACAGAATCCGAAAGAATTATATTGAGGTATATTGATTTGTATACTTTAATATGAATTTAAATTTTTAAAAGTTTAGATTCATGAAATATTTGCCTATGAAACGAAATATAAGTAGTTTAGGAAATCTTGGAGGATCATTTTTTTTTAGCATAATCTTAGAGGATCATATTATGAGGATAAAAATATTCTAGTTTTTTATAACTAATCAAGTCATTTAAAAATACTTATTTAATGGAAAAAAACATATATTTCTTTTTTTGGGTCATAGGAAACAAATGTTTTTTCAAACTCATTTAATTGGAACGAATATGTAGTGATAAGATTTAAATTGGGGATTTTGCATAATTATATTTAATGAAAATAATAATCTTGCCGTAGCTTTAGAAAATAAAGGAGACAAAGCTTTTTGTCGTTTCCCCTCTCTGTAAAAAAATCCATCGTTGAAGAAGCCGAATAGATTCTTTACATTACGACCTGGAAGTGAATAGATTCGATATGGAGATTTTTCTTTTTGGTGGCATTACGGAGGATTCGAGGTGGTAAAAATCCGATGGAATTGGAATTAGAGCTTATGGTTGAAGCTAAATAAGAATTGGTTGATATGTGTCAAGAGTTTTATCCTAAAGATATAAT